TCAATGTTTGAGTCTTCAGAAAATGTTTTAAATATTCGGTTTTTGTTTTCTTTCTCAAGTTTCCTGGGAAAGTAATTGTTTTCTTTGTTATACTAACTTGAAGATGGTGGCACAGAGAACTGTAAGAACCATAGAGGAAAATTTATTTTCATAAAACCAGGCTTCTGAACCATCTGAGCAGATAGTATAACAAAACAGAGGCAGATGGAGAGGGTAGGAGTGACCTTGACCCTGCCCAATAGCCTTGGGTCTTGAAGAAAACACAAAACTCTATAAAGTACTATTAGTAGATTCCCTGAATGATGTGTGATGCAATTGGCCTCACCACGTCTTAGAAAGACCTGCATTAGGGGCTGAAGAGATGGCTCAGTGGTTAAAAGTACTAGTTGCTCTTGCAGAGGACCTGAGTTTGAGTCCCAATACTCACATGGCTACTAACAACCATCTGTAACTCCAGTTCCAGGGGAATCCTAGAACTCTTCTGACCTCTGAGGGCATTGCATGACATGGGTACACATACATACATGCTGGCAATACACTCATACACATAAAATAAAAACAATAAATAAAATATTTTTTAAAAAACTTACATCAAAGTCTACTTGCCATTTAGAGTTGTAGAATATCGTATTTGTGCATTTTTTGATGAACCAAATACTGAAATAGTATTTAGAGAGGAAGGAAAAAGACCTAAGTGTTTGCTCTGGTTTGTTCTGTTATTTGAGACACATTTTTATTAGGTAATGCTTTCAGGTTTGAACTGCAAACCTAGTAGAACTTCCAGAATTCCTTATAAACTTGCAGAATATCTCAGGTTACAGAGAGAATGATTTAAGATTTACTTCTTTATTTTTAACAGCAGAGGATATTATAAAAAAACACAATTGTATGTTGTGTTTAATTTATAACACTCATGATAATACTTGATTAGGATTGGAATGATTTTTATTATTTTTTGTCAAAGTACATACTTAAACCCCTGAGCACCTGATAGTTTAGACAATTATTTGAAGCAAGATTTGGGTATTGACTCCAAGTTTCACTTCCAGTGACTTCATGATTCACTCAAATGACATATACATGGCAGGTCTCTAGGAGACTGCTCTGAAATATGAAAAATGCTGTAACTACCATTTGTCATGCAAGACAAATGAGACGCATCAATTTTTGCGAGAGTAGGAAATAATTCCTAGAGGTGAAATTTTGAGGGGCTCCATTTGGTCTGCTTGATCTCTGTAGTTCTTCCCATACCTTAGATAGTTTTCACGATATGCTTACACTAATCCTAAAACTTCGCTCTCAAGAGTTTGCCTTCCTTAGGGAACATCCTTGTTCCTTGTTGTTTATATCTGAAATCAGACCCATAGAGTTTAGGGGAAGCTAATGAAAGGATCATTTTTTTCTTTTTTGATTTCTTTCATGTGTCATAACTCAGGTGTCATTATTGTATTTATTCTACTCTTAAATAAATGTTAAACCCTTTCAGATAGCAGGCACGTGGTGAACTTTTACCTAGGTCTCATCAGTAATTACCTGACTACTGAGTTGAAAGGGTCCGAGACAGTGGAATATTAGAAGGCATTGTTTGCAGATGGAAAAGCGTAATAAAATATTTAATCACCTGCACATAGCCTCATCTCTTTGTCCCATTACAATAAGTCAGCACCCCCCAAAACAGGTTCGGCTGTGGCACCTACATCCTTGCAACTGATCCCCATGCCCTGATCCCTTTTTCTCTAGTTAGAGACACTTAGGGCTACTCTTGCTTATTTTTTCTGCGTTTAATTAGAATTATTTTTTGTCTATGGTTTGTTCTTTAAATAGTTATCTTCTATAGTGTGGTTAAACTGTTTATATGTGCATGTTACATTTAGTCTCAAATGGACTGCAAAACTCTTAAAAATTGGGTTGACATATTCTGCTTTATCATATTTTATAAAATGCAGAAGGAACTAGGCACTCAGTAGGGACCATACCAATGGATAATTTCTTATATAAGCTGATAGTCAATGAATAAATGAACAAATTCTATTTTACTTAAGTAAAAATTTGAACATATTTAAACACTAGATTAATGTTGACTAGTTTTTGATTAAGTTACAGACTGAACAATTTTATTATTATAATGTACTAATTTTCGTAATATTGTAGGACTTTCTCCAGAGGTCTAAATTATTTATATTTCCTATTTTTTCAACAAGACAGATAACCTGGATGCAAACCAGTTTGTTGTGTCCTGTGTTGGGCAGACACAGACTAAATGTTTGCCTCAGAATGATATTCATCAGGTGGACTTTTTCTATTTTGCCATAATTCGTTTTTTATTCTCAGAAGTATTTACTTCACAAACACCTACAAAGTTCTAGAGATATGTCTATTGAAGTTGTTGTATTTTATAGATTTGTTCTGTAGATTTGATCAGCATTGGTGTTTAATAGGAAAAGTACAAGTTTGAAATATCATATCTGTCTTCTAATGAAAAAAAATGGAACTAAACAAACTGGTTCTTCATGACTTGTTAGCACCTACTCTACTCAAGAATGATTCACAAGTCCATTCTTGCTAATCATGGTGGCATACACTTTTAATTCCAGTACTTGGGAGGCAGAGGCAGGCAGATCTCAGTAAGACTGAGGCCAGCCTTGTCTACATAGACACAGAGCGCTCCAGGACAACTGGGACTATAGGGAAACACTGTCTCAAAAAAAAAAAAAAAAAAAGTGTATTCTTATATGGAAAATAGTGTCAGGAGATGCTTATTAAAAGTAAGTAAATAAAAACAAAATGCTCCCTCAGGCAAGAAGTTAGGAAAGCAGAGAGATCAGATTCATCAGCCTGCATGATATATGTTCCCAGCAATGTATTCCAGAATGTGTGAGTTGTCACTAACAGCATTATGCGCCAGCAACAGCATTTTTCCTGACATCATGGAAGTTCAGGGATGAAGACCCTTGGCTTGACCTATTTTTGCAAACTCATGTAATATTTCTAAGTACTAAAGAGCGTGAACTTTTATAAGTTCAGAAGTAGCTTTGATGTGTACTTGTGCCTTTGTTAATGCATGATCTAGGAATCTCCTCAGCAAGGGTCAGATGAAACAGAAGCCCAGCATTTCACTCATATGTAGGCTTTTCCACCAACTGGCAGTTGCTTGTTCAAATCAGAGTGCAGAACACAGAGCTGAGTGGCAAGGACATTAATAGTTACCAGTCAGGTGGCAGACAGATGTGGAACAACTTCTGGAAGGAGAGGGGCAGCTCTTTTCCTCCAAAGCACGAGATTGGTTATCAAGCAGTGAACCCATCATTAGCATGCCATAAACATCACTGTTATTGTCAAGAAATCTTGGACATTTGGGGGAAATCCTGTCCCGTTTATTCATTGATGTATTGGTATTTTGGATTCTAAATATTACTTTCTAAACTAAGTTATCTTAAATTACTTACAAATCATAGTTGTGTAGTGGAGGAGCTATACCAGCCATATTGATCTTCCGCAGGCTATTGGGTATCTGTGATCTGTTCACTTTGGCCTGTTTTATGGCTTTGCTGTGCACGTTTCACATATCTCTGTGGTCCGTTTGCCTTCCACTGACTTGCATTGTTGTAAGATATCATTATAAATAG